TTGGAAGAACAATTTCCACGTCTATTTTCATCCTTCTGACCCCTCGGAGCAGATCGGTGACAACAACCCATAAATAGCATTTACTGCCGCCCCTCCCCCCTCCACTATCGCTGCGCAGGCTCTTGAAGTATTCATTGTCTGGAGTGAGGAATGTTCATGTGAATCTGGTGCCTGACTTGAAGTGGAGGATACTTCAGGAGGCTGCGCGGGCCGGGCGGCTGTTGGAGGCGTGGATCGGACGGGTCAGAGAGGAGATGTTACGTCGTTAGGGGCCGCCCTCCGGATTGGACGATGGTGCCGGTCCGGGAGATCCATCGTCATCGCTGTCCCAGTTCTCGGTACACTGGTGGTGGATGATTTTACTGGTGGAGCACCGGCCGCTCTGGCGGTTGGGGGATTCGATGACGGGCTGTGGGAGGGAAGACAAAACGTGAGATTGTAGCCGGGAGCAGCGAAGGCGAAATATAAAGATACAACGACCCGACTGCATCCCGAAACTCCTCCCCCCGACGTGTGCGGAGCCAGCACATATGGGGGCGCCATTCGTTGTTTGTACTCGTTGTAGAGCGTTTTGGTTTTCCTACCTTAAGCCGGCCACACACCTTTCGATTATCGGGCGATTTTCGTATGCAATCAACTTTTCGTCCGATAATCGCAAGGTGTATGGGCAGTGTACAACCGCCAGTACCGTACAATCGTACGACTTTTGTCTTTCCTGCATGTTTGAAAACTTTGGCCGATTGTACGATTTGCGCAAGGTTGGTGGCGTTTCCGTACGTAAAAAAATCGTACACACTACACTGCTCATGCGCAAAAAAAATACGTGCGGTGGATTAGCGCAATTCGTCCCGGTGCTTTTCTTTCATTACGGCTAATCGAACTGTGCGATAATCGTACGACGGTTTGATCATCGGACGAAAAGTGTCGTCCGATATTCGTAAGGTGTGTGACCACCTTAAAGGTCACCACACACCATACAATGTGATTGTACAATCTCCTCTAAGCTGGCCACACACCATACAATGTGATTGTACAATCTCCTCTAAGCTGGCCACACACCATACAATGTGATTGTACAATCTCCTCTAAGCTCGCCACACACCATACAATGTGATTGTACAATCTCCTCTAAGCTGGCCACACACCATACAATGTGATTGTACAATCTCCTCTAAGCTGGCCACACACCATACAATGTGATTGTACAATCTCCTTTACATTTAACAAAACCATGTAATATGAGGACAGAAGGACATTATTATTATTATTATATTTTCCTCTTCCAGAGTCTCCGCAACGTTACAATGTATCATGTTGTCCTCTCAGAGAAGATACAGAGGAGGCTACTGCAAATAGTAATCACTGTGGTCGGCTAACCCAGTGATCACATGATTGGCTACCTCAGTGATCACATGATTGGCTACCCCAGTGATCACATGATTGGCTACCTCAGTGATCACATGATTGGCTACCTCAGTGATCACATGATTGGCTACCCCAGTGATCACATGATTGGCTGCCCCAGTGATCACACAATTGGCTACCCCAGTGATCACGTCATTGGCTATCTCAGTGATCATGTGACTGACAGCCCCTCCTACCGGCTCCTGATCGTTACCCTGAGACCAGGAGGTGTTGGTGACAGTTCGGTCTCAGTGCTCGGGGCCCCTGACTGACCTCCAGTACATACACAGGGATGCATATATGTGGCTACATGGGATAAGGCCCAATTCGTGCCGCCACACATGTGTAGAGCCGGCCTGAAGGGGTTAAAGTGAACTCCATGCAAACGGTTAATTACAATGATTGTTGTTCTAACCGCCAACGTTTTCTTAATTCTGTGCAGCCAGCGTCATGACACACCAACCTTTGCTGGTGATAAAGATCGCTCTCCTACGTCCTGGTTTCCTATTATCGCTGCCGGCTCACCGGAGAGACGTCATGATACAGATTTACTGGTGACACAGGAAGCTGAATTGCTGAACCAGGAACGACGTGTTCCTACGTGTAGTTGTATTTCTACGTCTAAGCCCGTGATTGGGTGAAACGCGTCGGTGAGGGGGCGAGCATTGGGCGGGACACCGGTGATGTGGTACAAGCTACAATAAACTATTCCAATGGAAGCCGGTGTCCAGACGGCTTTTCTTCTGTTTGCAATGACTACGTGTGTCACGAGTGGGGAGAATGTGTATACATCACAACGCTGACCGTACAGAATTACAAATCCTTCGGCAGGTAAAACACTAAATTCTGCCAAGCCGCCCATGAAACATTGCTGAACACAGTACCTGGATATAGCTCTCCTCCTCAGACAGCAAAGGAGAAAGACCAGCAGCCCCGGCGGAGCGGGATCGGCGAGGGGACCGGCGTCGATGCGTCACATAAGCTCCTCCCATGTGCTCCTCACTGCGCACTCTCTCCACCTATAAGGAACAGGAGGATGTCAGAGATCCCTGCGGACACAGACGTGTTGGGTGCTCCATGAACACAACGAATCATCGGCATCTTAATGGCCTAAAGGCACTCATGCTGCAAGCTACAGGTAAGCAACCTCGGCCCTCCAGCTGTGATCAAACTACAAGTCCCATCATGCATCTGACTCTCATAGCCATGCCTGTGGCTGTCAGAGTCTTGCAATGCCTCATGGGACTTGTAGTTCCACAACAGCCGTAGCGCTGAGGTTTCTTACCTCTGCTGTAAGCTATAATAGGGGCCCCAACCACAGCCAATGATTGGCCTTAGTGTCCCAGGGACAAGTATAGGCCTCTGGCAGGGGCGTAACTAGAAATCACAGGGCCCCTTAGCAAAATTTTGTATGGGGCCCTGTGATTTCCAGTTACACCCCTTGCAGAGCTCACCTGAGATCCCACACAGCCCACCTGAGAGTGACCCTGCAGAGCCCACCATAGACTCTCTATGGTGGGCTCTGAAGGGTCTCAGGTGGGCTGCACCTCTTACCTGTCAGCCCGATCCGCTGTCCGCCTCCTTGGTCGCTGGCAGGCCCGGCCTCCTCCGTCGCCGGGCCCCGCC